GTGCGGAATGCGCTGGACGCCATACTTTGTCTGCAGATCCTCCGCCGTGACAAGACATCGCAAGTACTCAGGCGATACCGTTATACCTGATGTGCGAATGACTTTGGGTGCCAGGCCAATTTCATAGCATAAGGCCGGTGCACCTTTGCGTTTTTGGGGCAACCGCTGCCAAGACCACCCCTGCGCATCTAGCAATTGCAAGAGCTCATGGCTAGTCGGGGCTGGCAGCTGTATCAGATCATGCGAGATGTCACTGACTGGCGCAAAGTGGACAAACGGCTTGAACATAGTCAATCCCGCCAAACCTTGTCCTGTCATTCGGCATTTCTGCGGATGGCCTGGGCACACTTCAAGCAATCCAGCCTCAACCAACGCCTGCAGATCAGGAGAGGCAGGGAGATCAACCCAAACAGACGCTCCCGGGAAGGCTTCCTTCCCGACAAGGCTTGTTGCAATCCTGGACATGTTGTCGAAGTCAAGGCTCTCTACCAAACCCTGCTGAGAAAAGCTATAAAGCCGCTTTGCATCCGATGAAGGCTGGGCTCGGCTACGGCTACAAAGCAGACCCTGGCGCATGTCATCGAACGACATGAAGTGCGGCAAGTTCGCAAGAACCTGCGCTGTCGAACCTCCTTCGGTGACCCGGGGGGCCAATGACAAGCATGGAGAATCAGGATCCTGCACCGGACATTCCTCATGGACACTGACAGCAACATCGTTGGCATGAAGGCGGCCACGTTTGCCAGCAGCAGCTGCCGACAAGGTCATGGTTCTGCGCCGACTGGGATTTGTGTGCAACACTTTGAAATAGCAATACCTGCGACGACCCTGAACCTCCGGCCCCGACTCGGATTCAAGTCCACTTCCACATGGCTTAAGGTCAAGCAGCGAAGGCGAATCCTGTGCTAAATCACTTGTAAACTCCCCCAAGCCCTCTGCAGTTGAGGTTGTAGTTGTGTCCGACATGGTCAACCGTGCATGCACATCACGCAGGAGAGAAGTGCTTCTCTCACCTCCCTGCTCAAATCCTTGCAAAGCCTCGCAGGGTAATGCGAACATCGCATCGGGAGATGCCTCGGCAACCGCCAAAAAATGGGAATGCAAAGCCTTGGCCCTTAGATGCTCATACGTCACCGATAAATCTTCGTTGGGCAACAACTTGTCTGCTTGTCTTCGTTCCTTGTCTTTGTTGCGCTTATGCCATGCTTCTACGTGACCAAGCTCTGGGAACTGACCTGACACATCGGCGCGATACAACACCCTATTTAACACTTTGACAAGTTTCCATTTGTCTGCTCTACACAACACAAGCTCAGGATGAGCGGCCAAGCCCATGAGGCCTGGAATGTTTTTCGCCCGCCGAGCTTGCGCAAGCTGCCCTGCAACTCCAAGCAGCGCAGATGAATCGAGTTTGATAGCACAAGCGAGATCATGAAGCCTGAGCGACAAACTGACGACAGGTCCGGCAGCATTCGGCGGAACTGTCCGTTTCACAATTGAGTGAGATGCTTCGAAGGATCGCTCAGTAACCTGCACCAACCTGAAGCATGAGGCCACAAACTCCAAACGTGGAAGCTGCTGCAAAGAACGTCCTGCAACGAACATATCGATATCTCTGCGCATACTGCCAGACTTCAACAGCAGATGCCGTGTCAGGCTGTGATGGTGAAGTTGAAGTTCTGGGCTCTGGGAATCGAAATCCTGAATCACCAAGCACAATTCCCTCCTAGCTTTTGCCACGTCCCGGTGTGCCAGCAAGGCCAATTTCCAGGGCAACCGTCTTGTCCAATCCAATTTCAAGGAAAATTCAAGTTCAGCATAACTCCTACCATCCTCGAAGTCGGCAACCAGGGTAGCCCAGTCTCTGTCAGACATATGGGGTCTATGTTTCTGCATGAGCTCTGACAACGCCAGGTCACTGAAATTTGCCAAGACTAGCTCAAGCCCGTGAGCCACAAGGTCGGGCAGCCGTTTACCCCTCATGACGCAAGTTTCCACCTGGTTTGCAAACAAGGACTGCAGCTTCCTGCGTGCTCGACGGAAGCTTGTCTGTGCCTCATAGCGGCCCCTGGTCTCGAATCGCTGAAACCCCGAAGATAACTGCAGGTCCTGATGACATGGGCAACTTTCTGCCCACTGCGAAACTTGTTCGATGCAACCGCTAAGCATGAGAATCATGTCGAAGTACGCGAAAAACATTGGGTCCTTGAGAATAGCACTGAACCGTTCTGGGCTGAATCGGGTTTCACTTCTCCTCTGCGCACCAGCATCATCATCGTCGTCACCCCCCCGCACATTGCCCAGATATGCACGTTCATCCCACACGCATCGTATGAGCGGTAGAAACAAGGCAAGACGCTTGCAGAAGTTCACCACTTCACCCCACCTTTTCAGGTACAGCTTACCGAACTTGCGCTGGAGCAACTCATCCGCTCGTGGGGCCAAAGGAGAAGGCTTCACACAGTAGTTCACGAAGCGCAACAAGCGACCGCAAGTAACCAAGCCTTCAAACTCTTGCAACTGCTCGAAAAATGCATCGAAATGGGAAAGCTTGCTCGAAACTTCCAACAGTGCATTGTTCACGATGTGAAGAAGCCCTGGCACAGAAATTGCATTGCGCAAAAACATAACATCACTAGCATTGCTGGGAGGCGGCCATGCATGGTTGTCCTGGCATTCATCGTGCGAGGGCCTGTCTTCTGGGACTGCACTTGCAGCTCCTACACGTGCTGGGATCTGAAGGTCACTCACAAAGTCAGCTTGCCCAGCTTGCAAATCAGGCGGTGCTGGGGCCACAGGGCCTGGCAGTGCACAAGCTTCTGGCAAGTCGCATTGCATTGATTCATGCTGCATCCAACTTGGCACTAAGCTCTTCAAACCGTCCACCCGGAAATGCCCGACGCCGAGCTCAGCGCCCATATCACTACAGAAAGAGAAGAAGGAGTCACAATGCCCTTGCAAATGGTCGCTGTGTCCGACAAGAAGTGCCCATTTATGCAACATCCCCGCACATTTGTGAGCTGTGCCTTCAGCCCCACTGCCTAAAACCACGGGAATATCATGCTCCGACCTGACATTGGCCAGCAGAAACGCGTGATCAGACCGGCTCTGGTCAGATGGAAGCTCTATGTCGGGACCGCCATTCGACACCCTGCGTTCCCCTTCTTCAATCATGCGCTGGACTACACGAAAAACTTCAATTAACCTATCTGATCGCACACTAAGACTGGATGACAGGAGCCAGTTGGAGCCGTGCTGGGGACTCGAATCGGCACCAGCAAACCGCACGAAAGGTCCTTCATCTTGTTCTTTCGCACGCTTCCAAAGCAACAGTGCGACGTCCAAAACAAGTCGCATTTTGTGCTTGCTGCCTTCTCCTGGAAACACATGCTTGCTGCCCAACAGATGATCTAGCGGATCCTTCAAAAGGTTGGGAAATAACAACCGCAAAGCTTCTAAAGCAACCTCTTTCAAGTTAACGTACGACGGCATCAACCTTGTCATCAGCATGCACCGCACCAAGAACAAGGAACCATAGAGAAGCTTCGGCCGTGGGATGGCCAGGTGGTCGCCAGGCAAAGCAGCCCGAACGTTGGCCAGCCAACGAATAGCCCCCAAAAGTTCAAGCTTTCGCTGATCATCAACATCGTCTCGAAGCAAAACCGGGGCCCAGCACTGCAATTTCTTCATCAAATCCAAAAGCTTCGCTTGCGAAATTCCTCCATCTTGCGGGTTAGGAGGATCATGCCCTGACACACCCACTGAAGTTTGAATAGCCTCGGGAAGATTTGACAGCAAAGCGTGCCAGCGACCAAGGCACGGAATGTATTTCCACTCACCGTGCAGAACCATCTGCAACAATGCCTCCGGTAATGGAACTACTACGCAAGACTCGGCATCTGCCTTCCCCGCATTCAAGCCCCAAACATTGGCCAGCACATGTCCAGCAGACACAGTCTGCCCTGCTGATGCAAGTGCAACTCTGGACAAGTCCACACCCGGCAAGTATGGCCAAAATGGCACTGTCAAGCTTGCTAGCTGCACCGAGAACGCGGATGGATCTTTAAATTGCACAACACCAGCCCGGCGCTGCAGCACGAAAGATTTGGAAGATGTCAACGCGAAACTTTGCTCAACCGGAAGCACTTCTGCGATACGTAAGCTGAAATAATCGGTTGGGTTCTGAAAATATTCAAACCCCAGCAGCTCTTCTTCATTCAAGCGCGTCAACTCGCTTTGCCAAACGGTGCCCACATGAACTTTTGCCAAAGCCTGCAACATGCAACCGCCTGAAGAACGAGGATTTGCGCCCTGTGCAAAAACGCCTGCACCAGCTGCTGCCCTGGCTACTTTGCAAGAATACCAGTCAGGCTGGGGCAGCTTCAGCTGGGTCCGCAATCTTTTCGGCACAGCTGCATCTGCAGTGTCGCTCCGGCAAACAACATGGGGAACATTGCCGGTAGATTGCCCTGTCGAGTCTGGGTATCCATGCAGCCACACGCGAACATGAGGAGCTTTAAGCTTGCGACGCAACAATCTGACTGCTTACGGTTTGTGCAAAGAATGAGTAAGGAATTGAGGGTTCGAGGTTTCGAGATTTCGTGTTTCGGCGCAAAATAAGCAATGTTCTTTTGTTGGTGCTTTCGTACTTCAGCAACGACACACTGAAACAGCACCGGCACTTCATCAAGCATGCAGAACCAAGCAGGTACTGTCTTCATGTCGTGACATGATGTGCAACGTTGTGAATCAAAGAAAAACAACTTGGAAAAACACGTGAATGCACCGCAGCGAAAACATTCGCGTGAGGCGTGCAGAGAATTGCTTGGGACCGCCAACAATTTGTCGCAACAACACTTTCTCCCACCAAAAACTTTGAAACACACTAGAACCGGCATTATTGTGGCGAGAAACAAGAGCATCAGATGTATCAGAGCGATACTGGTTTCAGAATCATAGATTACCGCCCAAACCAGTGCCGACCCCGACGCAGGGTGAAGCTAGTAGTCCTGATCGGCACCGCCATCCCGCCCCTCCACTCCAGGATGAGCCGCCTGTTCTGGCTCCTTGTCCGTTGCCAACTGTGCTGGCGATTTCTTCCCCAAGACTGCCTCCAGGTCGCGGCGAGTCTGGAGCGCCTCCTCGTTCTCCGTCTGCATGGCGCTCATGCTCCCGCACTCCTCGCGTCAGGTACCCATGTGCAAGAGAGGCCTGGAACACAGCTTGACAGGCGGTGAGGTGACGCCCGGCCTGCTTGGCCGGCTGTGCACAGTAGTGGCAGGGGTTGGCAACTAGCAACCCAAGGCTCCGACTTTGGGTCTCAGCCTGTGTCTTCAGGGCCCAGATCTCCGGATGCATGCGGCGAATGTGTTGCTTCAAGCGATTGCCCCACTGCCCACACACAACACAGTGCTCACGCAGGACCTGGTTAAACTGAGGATTGCGGATAGCCTGGCGCCAATTTTTAGTGATGCTCGCACAAAAACTGTCATTCTGCAGTAGCGCTAGCTCTGCCGTCGGTTGCATCGGTATTAAGAAGCACTCTCTGCCACTCGGCATGGGTGGTGGTGTGGAGGACACCTGCGGGGCCCAGCCCCTGGGCGACCCCGCCCGCAGGTCGGGGACCTGTTCCGTCCATGCGGTGGTGCCTCCACTCGCGGTGCTAGTCCTCTTCTGTGCAACACGACCTGATTTAAGATGTTTCTTAAGAGCCTCAACACGTGTGAACTTCTTATGGCATCTAGCACATTGCGGCATACCATCAACCGAGCCTTTGGAATATAGTGCGGCAGCGAGCACACCCGATTGTTTTCTGGAGTTTTGCCCTACGTAGCCGTGCTGCTTGGCCTGGTGTGTGCGCATGACCTGTACGCTCGAAAAGTACAATCCACAGTTCGGGCAGGCGACACCGATGCAGGGCTCAGCACTCGTAGTAGCAGTATCAGTCGTAAATTCGGCGTGGTCGCAAGCACTACGCAAAGTCATGATTTCATCGTGCAGCTTGCTGAGCCATGCACAGCTCTCTGCACCTGCCAGTTTCTGAACCCTGCGCTCCAACGTCTTAGTTAGAACCATGCTAGGTGCTTCAACAGACAGTCTAGCACGCAGTTGCACAGTGGATTCGAGGTAGATATGCGCCGGGGTCCTGGCCAGTGCTCTGAGAACACGAGCATCAAACTGATCAAATCGACGCAGAACTGCATGCGTGCAACCGACTGCATGCTGCCCGTACAGCAGGCAACTTCTGACGCAAGCCAGGTAGATGCGAACTCGCTGTTGCAGTGTGAGCTGTCTGTGCTGTAGTATACGCGCCAAACGGTGACGGTTGCCTAGGGCAGCTTGCACCCGGTGGACACAGGTTTGCATGTCATAATTGCTGTATGAAACGATGACCCCTAGATACAGCATTTGGGAAACTAAGGGAATACGCAGAGGCTGGTGCGGGAGGCCAACATCCAGGGTGGGTCCGTTGGGGCCAACATACTTGTGTTCTCTGAGCCACCTCGTCGCAGCTTGCCCCCTCAGTTTGACAACTAGCTGCGACTTAGCGGGGTTCACTGTCATCCCTAGTTCCTGAAAGACCTGGAAGGTGACTCTGACACAGTGTGTAAAGAACTGCAGATCTGCCAGACTGCTTATGTTCCACGACAGGTGCGTGTCATCGGCAAAAAGGGTGAGCGCATAGGATGCCCAGGCCGCATTGGTGCGCTCTGCCAATGTGTCGTACACTAGGCAGGTGAACAAGGCAAAAAGAAATGGGCTGAGGGTGCACCCCTGTCTAACACCTCGCTTAAGTCCAAAGTCTTGACTGTAGCCTTTATGTTGTACTCTGTAGCGGCATTGTTCGTGCAGCACCAATATGGCCTGCACCAATGGCTCAGTGGCACCGGCTCTGCGAAGTGCACGCTGCAGGGCGTCACGGGTGAGGCAGTCAAAGGCTCTGCTAAGATCAACACCCAACATAACCCCTCCAATGCACCCACTAGAACAAAGCCCAGCCCTCCTATCATGCACCGTTGGCTCAGAAGATCTAATTCGGTCCCGCACACTCCGGCAATGCTGTGCAACTCTGCCGATGGCTTGGTCTATGGCCCGCTCGGGGCAGTAAGCAAATGGCGGGTTTTGTCTTAAGGAAATCAAGGGTAAGTTCTTGCAGGCGGGCACACAGTGCAGTGGCAGTAACCTTGGAGCTAGGGTCCTGGAGACCTAGTGGTCGAAGGTCGGCGGGTCTACGGCTAGTCTTATGGGGTTTCGGGAGGAGGGCCAAAGTACAATTAGCAACCTCAGGGGGGTAGGCACTACGTGGGGCCATCGGGAGATTTATTCTGGTGCACAGAAAACTGGCGAACTCGGCAGGACATAGCAGCCATATCTCTGCGGGCACACTCGCAACCGGCACTGCCTTGCCACCTTTGAGCTGGGTAATGGCCTGTATGAGCTCATTCTCAGTAAAGTGCACAACCTCTCTTTGTGGCAAGGCGAAGTCGGTGTCGCAGTCGAACGCATGCTCAAAATAGCTGAATATGTCCTCGAATTCGGCTTTCGGTGCCAACAGAGCGCCCTGTGGGCTTCGGATGCGAACTGGATCTCGGCGACGCTTGGGAGCCAGGATGTTAACAACCCTATAAACCGCTCCTAAGTCATGCTTCCGCGCAGCTAATTCAGCTTCCTGGATCCTTGCCTCAAACCACGTACGCCTGGCAGCTCTGCTGGCTTGTCGGAGCTGACGGCTTGCGCGCTTAAAATCGGCAGCCCGGCGCCAGGCACCTATAGCCGCTTTGATGCCTACTGCGGGGCCGTGTTGTTTGAGCGCAGCATGTGTATGCATGACAGCTTGAACAGCACCTACCACCTCGGGTTGAGCACCAGGCCGGGTGTTTTGGGCATGGGTCCTAGAGGCTGGGTACAGGTAATGACATTGTTGTAAAATAGCTTGGTTAAGTTCAGTAATGCTACCGTCAGTACCGCTGGCTGTAAGAAGGTCTAGCACTGCACTCCGCAGCGCTTGCGCACGTGCATCCTGCTGCTTGAGCGATTGCCTCATGGCCCTAAGATCGAATTTAGGCTTCACCTCTTTGTGTCTCCGAAAGGTCCAGCCTGCACGCCAGGGTATGGAGGCTACAAGCGCGTGGTGCTTTGGGCCACGCCTCCACGGGGCAAGTTCGAACACGTACGGTACAGTTCGGCGTGCAGTAGCATCGACCGTGGCACGACGCATCGCCGGAAGTCGATCTGGCTGCGGTCCTCACCATTCACAAAAGTGTGGCTACATGCTGCGCGTGCGCTGCACCATGTATTCAGCAGTACAAGGCTATGTTCAAGAAGAAGCGCCTCGAGCTCTGGGTCACGCCCCTGTGCGCTGCGCAAGACCCCGCGTCCCACGAGGCCAGGTATCGGAGCGCATCTGGTGTTAAGATCAGCGCCCAAGACAACCATGTTACGCTGTGGTATGCTGTGCAGCAATCGACTAAGCTGTCCCCAGAAGTGACTACGCCTTTCCTTGGTACTAGCATCCGATAGATTGGTCCACTGATAGCCAGCCACTATGTCAAGCGTAACTTTGGGACTGCAACAGCGAACCTGTAGGAGTCTACCTGGCACCCAAGTACAGTACGTCACTGCTGCTGACATGGCCAAGCGGCTGGAGAGGATAACACCTGTCCCACTGAATCTCTGCTGTGAGTCCGCAGTGATGTAGAAGGTCCAGCCTGGTATGGCCCAAGAGCTGTCGGAACGGCCACATCCCCAGTGCAACTCCTGCAGGATGATTATATCGTCCTGACATTTATGTTGCAACCAGTAGCAGAGGTAGTCGTAGCTCTCGGCCGTCAGTCCCCCAGCATTAAAACTGCGCACCTTCAGTCTGGGTTGCACTGTTCGCTCAGACTGTTTTGTATGACGTCCACTGGCTGGTTCCTGCGATGAGCAAGGGCCAGCCTGCGCTGTGCCCAGTTCTGCAGCAGTACACCAGCGTCCTCGGTAGCGCGTGCCTCCGCGCTGTTCAGCGCGCCGTCGCGCTCTACGATATGCTCTCTTCCGAGCTCGTGAGTGCACTTCTGGCACTGTGGCTGTCCCTCCAGTGGTTTTCGCAGCATCACTCCGTGGCGCTGCTCCTGAGCCCTGGGTGGAAAGGGACTCAACCCTCGGGTCTATCATCTCCAAATCTCGCCGTCTCATGGAAATGTTCTCCGCAGAAGATGATCGTCGGATTTGGGACCGACGCAGCTGGTAAATGTTCACAATAGAAAGTGGCAGGTGCAGCAGATAAAGATCAACCAGAGAAAGCTCCGCGAGGCCATGATGTGAGACCTTCCTAACTGCGCCTCATCGCTCCAGCCGAGACCCTTGACCAACCCTAGTAGTAGTAGTAGTAGTAGTAGTAGTAGTAGTAGTAGCAGTAGTAGTAGAGAAGCCCTGAAAGGTAAATCACCTTGCTGGAGCCACGCTTCGATGCTAGAGCTACGCAAGCCCCGTCTTCGGACATATCCTGGAAACAAAGTCGGGTCGGATCAGGCCACAAAGACTCTTAGCTGGACTGGCTTCTACTTTGGAATCTACCGCAGGGGCCTTCATAATTAGAATAGGGCTTTGCGGCCCATTATAACAAAAGACTTGTTAGGCCTGAAAAGTAGGCCCCAACCTCCGAAAAACCGGGACCCCAGGGGCCTTGGCGTCCCTTTGCAGCCGTTCCTTCTCTGCTGCAGCAGCCATTCGCACGCAGGAAAGCTCCTCCGCTCCGGGAGGTGTTGTTTTGGGTTTCGGGGTTTAGGGTTGTAGGGTTTGGGGTACCCTAAACCCTAAACCCTAAACCCAGAATGAGTTTAGGGCAGTCTCAAGGCCCTGATATCTGTCTTGGAGCTTGCAGACTGACCTCAACGCACATGCAAATCAAATCTATCCGCAGCTCACCGGCCGACCCTTCTTCGGTGGGGGTGTTCGGCCTCAACCCTTGCGACTGGAACAAAGACCAGAGCCCAAACCCTTCAACTCCCCATTGGGTTTAGGGTTTAAGGTTTAGGGCTTAGGGTCTCCCGCCCTCCCCCAGCAAAGAAGTCTCCTCTCCAAGCCTTTTTGCTTCCTGCGACAGCGGCTTTGCTGTTTGGCCGCAGTGATCTTTCACAAGATCATGCAAGTCATACAACTCCGACATTTCGACCCACATAATATCCCAGGGCTGACTTCAACAATGACAGCTGCAGCCCATTTTTATGCATGCCCTGATCTCTGAAAGGCGTGCTTCGGGCCTTCTCCTTCTCGATCAACGTGGCTCGAACCTGGCCGGGCTACTTGGAGGCTCATGTGTCGTTCAAAGGCCGGTTCTGGAAAACGGAAGGGGGTAACACAAGCTATAGGCTCTACATAGATTGACTTCCGGACCAAGTTCAGGAGGTCCTCCCGTGCCGTCTATTTCGATGCAGATGGCCGATCCCTAACAGTCCACGTAATGTGCTGCAAAGACGGACGGGTTTCAGATGTAGCGGCACGAACACTGCACACTGGCAAGCAACTGCTTTCTGCTACGATGCTGGTTGTACGCTTCCACGAGTCAGTACATGCAGCGTCTGTGATCTATGCATGAACTACCAAATCAACGGCTCGGCAGAAGCCGTCTTCCTCGCTAGGATCATACCACCAAAAGCATATTGGCCCATGCTAGGCAGCAAAGTTTGGCATGAACCGCAAAGGACGAAGATGGCTTCACCACGACAGCCAGAGCTTCTGGAACATGCCCGGGTTTAGGGTTTAGGTGAAGCACATGGGCTTGATGAAGCTTGCCCTTCCAGCTCAGAAAATACTCTGCACTCAAGAGTACTTTAAACTTTTCAGTAGCGTCTTGGTACATGCTGCCCAGCTAGTCACATTGAAGATGTCCAGTTGGTGAGGCTGGATAACATGTATGGAAACACATCTCTTGACAATAAGGTCCTACACACAAAGCCCCAGAAGCCAAGCCCGAGAATCTCGAACCACCGACCGCCGCAGCCTTGGAGCTTCAGCTGTAGCTTCTGAATGACCACTGAAACTCCAACCTTTTTGTGGCCTCCCGCCTTCACTTCGGCCTCGTCCAGTCGGGCCCTGAGAGACCGGATCTCTTCCTCCTGTTCCTGTTCCCAGACGCCAAAACGGCTTCAGAGCTCTGATGATTATGATGATCTACCACCTTTAGTGCCGCTGATGGCTCTCACTCGAACGATGCGTGGGCAGGTCGGGGTGAAGCCTTCCTTCCCAGAGTTGGTCGCTGGGAAGCTTGGAGCGCCCTGTGCTTGTCCCATGATACTGTATCTACACACTCAGAGACATCTATATCTATAAATATGTACATATGTAAATCTTAGCTGGATATTTAGATAGGTAGATATATATATATATATATATATATAGATATTTATAGATATATATAGATATATATATATATATATAGTGTATATATATATATATATATAGATAAAGAGAGAGAGAGAGAGAGAGAGAGAGAGAGAGAGAGAGAGAGAGAGAGAGAGAGAGAGCGAGAGAGAGAGAGAGCCAGGGGGGCATTGCGCGGAGACTATTGCGAATTATTCGTAGCTCTGTACTATGCTGTGCGAAGGGCCTCTGTGACGTCCATCTGCTTTCGCAGCTTCTCTTCCTCCTTTCCATCCAGAGTTCGGTGCGTATTTATACCAGCAAAGGACAAACCGACATCGTAAAGCCCCACAAACGACAAAACCTAGTAAACCCTCAACCCTAACAAAACCTAAACCGAGGAGTCTTCGATTGGGTCATTCAATTTTCGGGTTAGGTTCCTGCCCAGTCTCCACTTCTTAGCCAAGAGGTGGGCTTCGTTTAGGGGTTTTGGGGCTTCCTGGGCTTTGGGATTCTGGGGCTTAAGGCCTTGAGGGTCTTTTAGGCTGCCAGCAATTGGAGCTTAGCATTTTGCTGCTTTAGGGTGTTTAGGCTGTAGCAGATAAGCACAGCAACACCGAAAAAAATAGGACGATGGCTGCTGCAGAATGGGAGTTTCCGAAAATAGGGGATCCTAATATAATACCCTAAATAGTAGGAATATTTGAAGGGCCCCAAAATAAGGCACCCCCTAATCTTCGGAAACCCCAAACCTAAACCTCTTCATTATAGAGCCCCTATAAAGGAGCCCATATTAATAGTACCCTTATCGTAGTCCTTTAAGGGATCCTTTCAAGGCACTCCTAATTCTCGGAAACTCCCAAGGTCCTGAAGGACCTGCTGTCTAAGGCGGTCGACCTAACAGGGTCCCGAAGCTTGGCGGGTTTTGGGTTTTCAGGGAATAGGGTTTCGGGATTTAGGGGTTTAGGGCTTCAGGGTTTAGGGCTTCAAGGGTTTAGGGCTTCAGGGGTTTAGGGTTTCAGGGTTTCGGGATTTAGGGGTTTAGGGCTTCAGGGTTTAGGGCTTCAAGGGTTTAGGCTTTCAGGGTTTAGGGCTTCAGGGGTCTGGGGTTTTTGGGTTTCCATAGGGTTTCAGGGTTTAGGGTTTCAGGGGTTTAGGGATTTAGGGTTTGGGGTTTGGGGATTCAGGGTTTAGGGTTTCTTTTCGTGTGCCCTGTTCCCTCTCCTTGGATACTTAGGGCTTTGGATGGATATTTCCTCTTGTGCGACTGAACTTGAAGGTTCATGGGTAGTTATAAGTAGGGTTATAAGTAGGGTACCTATACTTATAACCCATGTTAGGGGACCCATAACCCTGCTTATAACTACCCCTGAACCTCCAAGAAGGCTTTCCAGCTCCTCAGGGCTGCAAGGCTCCCCGAAACCCGGCCCTCGACACCGACACCCTGAAGCCCGAAACCCTTCAATCCCTCAACTCCCAAAGCCCCTTCATCTGAGCCTGACAAAAAAAAAACGAAGAACCCATGAGCCCGAGATCATCCTGTCGAGCCCAATGTGCCGCCTTTAGGACGGACAACGACGATGCTGATTGCCACTGTTGCTGCTGTTGTTGTCAGTGCTTCCATTTGGGAGTTTCCGAAAATCGGGGACCCTAATATAGTACCCTAAATAGTAGGATCCTTATTATAAGGACCCCCAAATAATGTACCCCTATTTTCGGAAACTCCCATTTCCCAGTATGTGATCAGTCTTGTCTGTCAACCCTCCTCACTCTGAGTGTGGCTGTTGATGGAAGATGTGCACCTGCATTGCCCGTATGCTGGGTCCCGGGTCTTAAAAGACTTCATCGCAAGCCGACGACAGGGCTTTGGGCCTACTGTAAGTGGTGGTGTTCGACATCCGGCTCCAGTTTGCGCTGGTGGCGCACTGCATAGAAAGAAGCCTTTCGCATTTTTGGGGGGTAACAAATAAAGAAGCAAAATCCCTGCCACGGGACCTCGTGAAGCGCACGCCGCTCCGCTTCCGCCTTGCGAAGGCTGGCGACGTTTGGATATCTCGGCGTTCGGTTTCATGGGGTGGGCCCCCAGCTGAAGGTCTCCTCCGGCTACCTCAAAGCAGGGTACCGCAATACTTCGCAACACCACGACCTCCCCAGATAATTGAAGCTTCTCGATCCCAGCAGCTCTGCCAAACTTCAGGTGCGTTTTCACAACCCCTTCAAAGCCAAGCAAAGCCTCTTGAATTTCCCAAGCCTAGCTTCCCTAAGCAATAGCAGGTGCCTTCTGCGTGAAGGTCTGCTGCCAGACTTGCTGCTCGCGCTGGCTTTGAGCTTCACGCTCCTAGCCGCACAAGTTTGAAGTGCCGAGGCTCCTGAGACCTCTTTCTTAAGAATCAAGGGAACCGTATGTTGGGCTCCTTCCAGGAAGGATCCTAATATGTCGGATTTGGGTCCCCTAGTCTATCAAACCCCTGGTTATCTCGCTGGAACTGAGCTGAGGTGAAACTCCTTGACTACGGGCCAAAATGCGTCACAGCTCCGAGGGAGCCTACTGCTTGTAACCCTACTTATAACTACCCCTGAACCTCCAAGTACCGCAACACTACGACACAGACCGAAAAACGTGAGAGAAGCTGCGGGATTTAACTCTTCACCCCACTTGGAGGTTCAGGGGTAGTTATAAGTAGGGTTATAAGTCCCCTAATATACTTATAACCCCACTTATAACTACCCATGAACCTCCAAGTAGACCCTAAACTCCACAATTACCCTTATAGAATCCCTAGAGATCCCTTTAAAGGAACCTAAACTCTCGAAGCCGCGATCTCCCCAAAGGGGCTGCCTTGACCTGCTCGCGCGTGCCCCGCAGCTGCGCCTCCAGGTCATCGATCCTTGGAGTCCGAGGCCACTGAGAAGGGGAGGTCAGGGGCTTTTGGGAGGTCTAGGGTTCAGCGCTAAGGCTTATTATACATGCATATACATTTTTTATATATTTTTATATTATAGCATCTTATATATATATATATATACATATATATATACATATACATATAGAGCTTCTTTCGGGAGTTCTGAGGGCGAAGAGCTCCGGTAGGACCAGAGCTCTTCAGCCCAAGGCTGGGTCCGGGAGCCTTCGGTCATGGCTCCCTTTTTTGCTACGTGGGAGTTTCCGAAAATAGGGGGCCCTAGGGTTCCTTTAAAGGGTTCCTTAAAGGGATCTATAAGGGTTCTATAAAAGGTGTAGGGTTGGGAGTTTCCGAAGATAGGGGACCCTTTAAGGGCTCCTTTTAAGGGATCTATAAGGGTTCTATTAAGGGTTTAGGGTCTATATGGGAGTTTCCGAAGATAGGGGACCCCTAATAAGGTACCTC